CCTCAATTCGGGACAATGAATCCTCTATTAGCGGTTAACACTTCGTCATCGGTATAGGTGTCGGTTGGTGGGATGTGTTCTCCAAAACCTGTAATATGATTCCAATATGATGGGTTGCAAGCCAATTGGATAAGGTAACCAAAAGTGAAACTAATGAGAAAAATTATTTTGGAAGTAAATGTGGATCCAATTCATAGTGAACAACGGGTCTAAAACCGATATTATAGATGCATCACTGTATGCAAATAGGTCATCTGTAGATACTCAAAAATCATGGATGAGTTGTTAGGTCTGCCGAGTGCTTTACTCATTTTTTTGCGTGCTGATTCTCGAAATGAGAAATGGAAATATCGATGGGTGTAACCGTTGGTGAATTGTCTGGAACTAGAAGCCACATCATGTGACCGCATCTGAGTGACTTGCACTGCATCAAACCGAACCAATCACGGATATCTACCGCTCATCGGAAAAGTATTTATTTGGACGCTTTGCCGTGCAATTCCAGGCATCCATCTGGCAGAAATGCAGTACAAATTATTCCTCCTGCTAATTGTTGCCCCATTGTTATGCAACACTTTTCCAACACAGCCCAAAGGTGAGTGACTGGATTCGGCTGTAACTTACATTGTCATAAAGTGAATAACCTAATAACTATTCCAATTTTACGCCAGAAGAATGTTAGAGATAGTGACAAATGTGGTGACCAAGTGAAGACAAACAGTTTGGAGAACAAAAGAGTAGGCTACTTTTCAACTGACATTTGCGAGCCAAATGCTGCGGTGTGATAAAATTGTCCATAGATTGTATGGTTTGCTGCAGCTCGACAAATGTCTGTTCTCCCTGTCTGCTTATCATAATGTCTATTGAGTCACTTACCCGGCCATGCTACAAAATACTACCGGACTGATAAGATGGTACATAAGGTCAGATGTGTGCTTTTTGTATGGGAGAACTTGATAAAAAGATGATATTGAGAATGGTATCTGATAAGTTGTGACTTTTGCACCCGAACTGCAAACGGCTTTCGCCCCAAATGAATCTCTATTGGATGTGATTTTGTAAGCATTCTGACCATTATTCTCGACAAGTTGGTTAAATAAATGCTTTCATGACAGTTCTCCAGCACTTTACGTCGTAGCATGAACACGAGTGGATTATATCTAGAGAAGTTCTGGCCATAACGTTGGTTCGATTAATGTGGTGCATGTAAATTCACTAAAGCCCTTTTTTCGTGGTTCTTTTTTCAGATATCTGTCTACATCAGAAAGATACTGGATTTTGCCATGTAAATAGCATAACGAAGTATTACTACGATAATCGGCAAAAGAAATGCTTAACTTACAAAGATCGCTGTGGCACGAGCAAAAACCGTTTTGACTCTTATGATCAATGCTATAAACAATGCAGTCACCTCATGAACACGCATTAATTATCAAATGAACACGAGCGCTTTTCGTCTCTAATACAGTGTCAAATATATTATGCATCTAGTTAAATTACTGTTCTCACTAACGGGACTGAACAGGGCGAAAAAATTCCTAGTGAGTTTGCGAAGGTTTACTAATTGTGGAATAGGATACAAGAATCTGGTCACCGTTAATCAAAACGTACCATAAGACAAAAACGGATGTCAGGCAATAGGCCTTTCAGCTACTGGAAGTTGGATAATAGAGCGAAGAGGGGAATAGCGGACAACAGAAAACGTCTTGCAACTCTGAACAAGCGCGAAGAAATTTTGGGATTCTCAAAAAGAGACGCGGAACTACCAAAAAGCTAGGTGCGGGTGATTCAAATTTTAGAGAACATTAAGCGTTGCGCAACTAAGAAAATCATAGAGAGGGTTGCTTGGACACAAGACAGCCGACAAAACAGCTTGACCAATTAATTTTGTTTTTGTTTCTGTGCGCTGACTTTGAGTTAAGTTTAAAGATCTAGGAAGTGTGTATCAGCATGAATCGGATAGCTGGTAATGTGGTGGCGCATTTGGCTAGGAGCGAACGATATGCAATAACGTTAGTTCAATCTTTTAATGAGTGTGTTTCCACTTATCCTATAATTACACTATTCCCAAATTAATGATCCGACTTCTTACCTGCCTCTCGCTATACTTCCCATAATTTTGAGTTCCTGGGAAGTAAAGTTAATATTTCCTTAGACCATATTCTTAGCACGCTTTCCCAATCCAACCAGCAAGAAAATTCATGAGCTTTAATCTCGTATGCTAGGAACATGTCAGCCCAAAAATTATGGAACAGAAGCATGCGGTAAAGCATTTCTTGATAATCGACTGTTCCCGCCGATTATACCGTGCACTTCATTTCTCAGTCACCTAGATTTGCACTCCTACTTTTGCTCATGCAGTAGCAAATCACTGAACCGATAAAGAACAAACAGCAGTGATCATATCCAGTTGTGGGCGGATTACTACCTATACCTGATGTTGTCTATATCCACTTTACAATTACTACTTTACAATTACTTCAAAATGACCAATGGATTCGGAACTGCATGCAAATTGCACATAACCTACCGACTATGGAAATATTTTTCCGAATGGAGTCGATCCTATGTTCGCCTGACTTACGCGCAAGGAACCAGCAGTTTGCAGACAAACTGGTAGGTCGTCTGCTTGCTGCATTTTTGTCATTTACACCGTGTTCGTAGGTTCTCGAAATACGGCGAGATTGTTGCAAAATTTAATGTCTTCTATTCTTACAAATAAATTACAGCTAGTTCGGAGTGTAAACTGCATCCAACGGAAGTAAATACAAATCCAACGGGACAGCGTTTTATCGACTTTGACCTTAACTGAATAATTCATAAAACAGTTTGCTATGGTGTTCCGACTTAATGACTTCTACTTTGGATGCATACAGACCTTACAACAGTGCATCTTTGTTTGAAAAGGATTATCACAGTAACAATAATTTATACATCACTCTAACACGTTGGCCTAAGGTAGTCTGTCAGTTTTAGGAATAACCAGTTACTCTAATCCTTCTTGTGGAAGCAGTGTGTTAACGTCATCTAGCAAACGTGCGTTAGCGTTGACGACAGGTGTGTTGCTTGGAATGACTACGTTAATGAAAACACAGGTTAACGACTCGAAGGGTGAGTTGGAGCCGAATGAGGGCCAATAATAAGGAATCATTTGTTTTGTGTTTCGACACCCGATTATCGGAAATATCTGTTCTGTGTAGAGTCAGATTAAAGGTAACTTCAGAGAGTCGTAAGCCGTTGCGTCAATACTGGACTCCGGGGTTTATATTTTACAGAAAATCAGGCAAGAGGCGTGAAAGTTAATTTGTCTGTACGGTCAACTGTCACCTGTAAACATCTGAGCAACGAGATTTCAAAAAATTACACATCAACAAACAAGCTTCACAGAAATAGCCCACAAAATAGTGGTTTTCCTGAATTAACCTGGTTTTACAGGAAAAAATTAAGATTGTGCCCAAAAGCGACTTTTCTAGCCAATTCCTTCATTTACGCTGAAAACATTGCTGGGAAAACTGATTCCAACAACCTACCGTCACAGTAAGGGCCATAATTGGTTAGTCGGAACATGCAGTTGCATCTGGATTAACCACGATAACAAGCACAGAAAAAAGAAGAAACGGTATAACGTATTAAGTGATGGAATCGAAATTCTTTGGAGCTGTTTATGGTCACTTAGAGAGCATTAATCACACTTTTGGGCTCTTCACGTCTGGTTGTGCGTCTTTTATAATACAGTTTTCAAGTGCGGAAACACTGTACCACAAAACTTGGATTTTAGGGACATCTGCATTATATAACGTGAAAAAACGGGGTTTGTCACCCTATCCTCTTTCCGGTGTCGTGAAAATAGCGTGGTTTCTCCAAAAATTGATGGAATTATTGGGCTTCTAAACACTTTAGTCCTAATTTCACTTGGATAAGACTTTCATAACTAAGTTCTAAATGATTCTGTCGGAATCTAACAGAGGTTAGAAGCGGTTGTTTTAAAAGTGGTATCGTTTTTTAATTTCAGAGGAATGTGAATAACATGCACATAACTGATTGTTTACAAAAGACATTTTCAGCTTGCATCCTTATTGTGTAGATGCTTTGGCGAGTTTGGTAGTCAAAGTGTGTTCGTTATGTTGGGAGCAACCGAAAATTTTGTTCGATTGGATTAAGAACGCCTGACAAGTTATTCCTTACAACCTTAGTTTCCAAGTCGAATCAAGGCGACAACCGGAAAATGCTCAATTTCATGTTAAAATTAGTATGTTGGAACAGGGAATAATACAGCTTTCAGTCAATCTACTTATGCTCCAAAGTTAGCACAGAAGATAACCCCAAACAACTGGTGTTATTATCTTAGCTTTTTTCACCACTATTGGAATCAAAGATTTTGTCCATTTACAGCACAGCTGCAAGCATCCTACCACCCATCAGGGCGACATAATCAGTGAGTAGCCCATTGATTGATGAGTCGGCACTCTGCGATACGCCGGCATATAGGCCTGCAGAAATGGGTGAACCAAATGACAAAATTCTTGGTGGGATTTTCATATTCCTCTAATTTATCTGGTAATGACTCTTGGGAGCTTTGGTTGAATGTGCGCCGCACACTGCGTGCAAGTTATCTGAATTTGGTACTGCAACCTGATAAACTACATCAGGGTGCGATATGGACGTGTGTAGACATGTGTATGCATTTATACACAATGACACATATGACTATCTATACATCGAAGGTAAATATAGCACAGTACCACAGATAACATGTCAGACGGGATTTGCTTGGTAGTTTCTGGTAAATCGTATTTGTCTGCCAATAATAATAGTTCGAAATCCGGCCGAGTCCAGGATGCTTTAGCAGTAGGGCGCAAGAATACCGGCACGCAGTTGACCCCGTCAGCAGTTACTGTCTAAAAACAGTTAAGCAGATTTTGGACACCGGACCCAGTAAGAACAATCAGTTGCCAGAAGCGCGATTACCGTGTCCACCTGATAAATATCAGCCAGGGCGAAACCGGTCTGGGTTGGCTAAGAATTATCTGTAACCTTACGAGCAGTATGTTCTGTCAAGTAAAAGGTTGTTTGTCAACTTTCTCAAGCGCAACGGTTTCCATTGCTTTCAAAGCTCTCAAGTGAGGAGCACAGTTAATAAGCACAAATTAATAACATCAATCTCTGAATACCCTCCATCAACTGGTTCTGCGTACACCACCACCATGCGGTCATGCATTTGCCAATCTCTTAGCCAATGGAGTAAGTCCCTCTTGTGAATTTCCCCATCTTTGTCACTAACAAACCCAAACCGATACGGCCTTCTTGTCGTGATAAGCAGGCTACCGTGAGCCAGTGAGCCATCTGCCTGGAATTTGTTTCGTGAGGTACGATGACGCCAGGAATGCCGTAGTGGAACAGTCAAAGCGACAGTAGCGACATGTAATAATAGAAGTAACCATATGATTGGGTTATCTGGGGATACAGCCGCACTACTGGTTGCGGCAGGACTGTAAGAATGATAAGGAGCTCCCCCCAGGCGACCAGTATGGGCATATCGACAGAATCGGCAAGACTGCCTTCCCCAGAGAATAGACACGCTAGAAGGTTAGCCCTAAAATTCACCCAAAAATTGGACGCTAGCTCCGGTGCACAACTCAGTACGGTCAAAATACTCTCAAAACTCAAGAGTCAGTCACTTACTGCTCAAAAGGGTTGTGTGTACTCAGTGGCATTTAGAGACATATTTTTATATCACCTTTAACTAAATCAACCCATTGCTAATGGTTGATCAGATGGCAGTTGATCTGTTCGCTGTGCTTGGCAAATGGCTTGCAAATTTCTCATCCCCAGTCGAGGAGATATTGTCAGTGCGCATTGAGTGCGCTGACGACGTCTCCTCGACTGGGGACGAAACGTTTGCAAGTCAGTTGCCAAGCTCGGCAAACAGATCAACTGCTATCTCATCAACGACCAGTAAACACACCCAAGGTACCTATATTTCGACAAATTGATAAGTCAACTCACCACTGCCCTGGAGGTCGTGTCCTGAATTGGATTGCCGCTACTACTCCGCTTAGTATTCACAATGCAGCACTTTCACGCACATATTTCTGACCTTAGCAAGCAAGGAGTTGGGAGCCTGAAATTTGAGGACTCTCGCGGATGAAGATGAAGGAGACAGGTCTGAAAGGCAAGCATTTATTCTGCAAAACAGCCCAAGAGTTACAAAACAGAAATAGCTACGCTTCTTGAGACCTCACCGGTTGATCAAACTAGGCAACCTGAGGCTAGATAAGGTTTTACCTCCTACTGGATCCAAGCCCGACGTGAAAAGTTTGATGAATTTGCATTTGCAGATCACATGAATCAGAGTACAATAGATCATCCGGACTCCATCACCTGGGCTGACGTTCTCACAGCTGCTAAGACACTAAAGGGCATAAATGAACTGAACAATGAAAGAAACGGGACAGAGCGTCTTGTCAGGGAGACCATTCGGAAGAAATATAATTCCACA